TCCTCGATTATGAACACTTGCACACATACACACTAACTCGGGCCGTGCCTCCACCAAAGCGGTCACGTGTCCGACAAGAACACTGGGTCTTCAGTGCTGAGTGTTGAGTGGAGTGTCACAATCCAATGAGAGCGCGGCGAATTAGGCGAGGCAGTCCGGGTTCCTGAAAAGGATCGACACTTCGCTTTGCGCGCCATAGGTGGCTGGTACCGTCCGTCTACTGTGCTCCATGTACTTGTATCTAACAGCCAGAAGGGACTTCTTTGTCCCTGCAGTAGCAGGTGTTTTGCGTCCGGGTACACCCCAAGGCCTGCCACCAGCAGTTAGTGGGCAAATGGCTTGTATGAACGGGAGGGGTGATGGACTCAGATCTGAGATACCTGATGCCCGCACTGTACCAGCCACAACAGATCTCAAAATAGCCGTTCCTGATAAGAACCATTTGCGACCAAGTGGACACTCGTTTCGGTCGAGGTAGATGCCCAAATGTGAGTTCCTCCTTCGCATCGTGTCGGAGCGCTGATCCCCACGGATGACCTACACCTTGGATCTTGACGTGGGATTTGCGAAATGCTAGCAACCAGGAACCAAGAACTTCGACTTTTGGCCCGGGTGGGCAGGCCAGAAGAAGCCGATAATCCGAAGTATTGGTGACCTTGCGCTCTGAAAAGGTACAGCCGTTTAAGGGATGTTCCGCCCAATCAATATGCACAACGAGTGTCCAAACTGGCCGAGATAAGTATTTTCGCTTGCTGGTACGTATCGAACACCGTTTCAGAGAGAAGGTCGTGACTGTTGGTAGATGGACAAGCCAGGCCAACACTGGCTCGTTCGCGTCGGCGCTTGAAAACACCGTGTGGCACTTCTCAAGGCAAGCCCGGACGGATGTGCCTTGCATGATAGGTAAGTCCCACCCAGGCAACGTATCCCGACATGGAGTTGGTAACCTGTCACTTTCCTGATGGTTGTCTTGGTCCGCCATCTGTCATGCTCAATGTCTTGACCTCACAACATGAGTTTGAAACCACTAGCCTAAGCTGACATTGGTTCTCGGTTCACTAGGTCAGCATCATCACGGTGAGAAGGTATTTCAGGCACAGAGCTGCATAGCGTATAGCACATTGCCTTGTCTTCATCTCCGGACAAGGCCTTCGTTGTAGTTTGCCGCGGTTCGCTGTCGTGCCGTGGAAATGTAGTACGCTTGTCGCTATTTTCGCCGCTTAGCTACACCGAGAACCCCCTTTATCTCCGTCTCAGGCGCGACGATAAAAATGGGGTTGCACCTGATGCACCATACTCCGCATAGTGCGTGATCGGTCTCTGCGTCCACGGGCATTGTTGTTCACGAGGAGAGCGCAGGAACCGCTGACTCGTGAGTTATCCCGGTGCATGACGAATGGTTGGTTGTGGGTGGCTGGGCCTGACGCAGCGGTTGTGAGTGGCCAATGGTAGGCCCGGGATCACGACCTCGTCCCCCGCTTTCCAGTTGCCGCGTGCTGCGCGCATCGCCCTTGACGACCTGCACGCTTCCGGCCCATAAAGCGACAGTCCCTGCGCTTTCCCGTCGCGTATCTTAATTGTAAGTATGGTCATGATCCATAACTATGCTCGCGCGCCGCCACCTGATCCTGCCTCCCGAAAGCGTCGAAACCACCCTTGTTCCAGCCCGCCGACGGACGACGCTGCCCAACGATCGCCGAAGAAGCGGAAGCTTTGCTATCCTACCTCTCCTCCGCCATAGTTTTGGGACGGCTTATCGACAATACCCCTCACTCCGAACGCTCTGCAAGAACTGAACCGAAGGAACACGCAGCTCGGACAAAGAAACGTCGCTGCAAGGCACATGCGGGCTAGGGGTAATCGCACCATCCAGCTGCTTTCCAAGCTCCCTTCGTATCATGTGTAACGAGGGGCGAGCATAAATGTACTCAGCCATCAAGAGCTTTCCAAGTATCTGCTTGAATATGTAGCCGCTCATGGGTTTCGTGTGATCAACAACTCCTCTCCGGTCAATCTCCTTGCAGACAGGAAGATCTTTGACATCGTCATTCCACTCGATAGGTCCCTCGCCATTCCCTTTCAGCATCTGCAGGAACTGTTCGCGATTCAAGGCGTTATCTGCGATGGCGAGACTCAAAAGGAAAGCCACAGCGTTGTACCGAATTAGATGATGTTCTCTGCCTATCACTCCGTACCTTCACACGGATCAGTCACCATAACGCGATATTCGAAATGTGCTTACTTCTTGTTCTCCGGATCCTTGTTGTTCTTGACATGGCGCTGGTCAAGCTTGAAGATGAATTCACGTTTGCCGTCGTCTGTACGATTAAGGACAAGTGTGATATCCTTTTGTTGTTTGTCAGGCAGGTTTGCCTTGATTAGTCAGCCACACATTCGGCCCACAGCTGCCCTCAAAGGCAGCATCT